AATTTTCAATCTTAAAGTATTTTGATTTTCAAAAATCGTATTAATAATATACATATGTGTGCTCATACATGGGAATAAAAAAAAATGTCTTTTTTTTCAATAATTAAAATATGATCAGGAGGTCTTAAAACGTGTATTTCTGTAAAATAAATTTTACAAAATTTTTTTTTCATTATGGGTACTTTGCTTATGTGCGCCTACATAGGTCGGAAAGTAAAAATGCCTGGAGTGGGCAGTCGAGAATCTCGGCTCGAGAATCCAAATCGTATGCCGTTGACGGGAGGTCGGATTTCAGTTGTTTAGAGCGAGAAGGCAAATGTGAGCCTTTCTCTCTCGACTCCCACGAGGCGATCCGAAATTACTTCGGGTGGCTTCGGAGAATCGAGAAAGAGGGCATGCGTCAGTTTGCCTTTGTCGACTTTCCGAAACTCCACGAGCTCACGTACGCGTATCTGGCATGTGTGCGTGTGCACCCGGCGGTGCTTTTCTGGCATCTCTGGCTACTAGCGACTCTCTAGAGATTTTACTTAGTTGTTCCAGAGTTGGCAATAAGTTTGTAGCGCCACGTGGCCGGGAACGCTAGGTCTTTCACGCATGAAATGTTGTAAAGTACAGAACGTTTATAATTGTTCGTTAAATAAAATTCTTATTGTTATTAACTGACGTGCATTATTTTCATTAGCCTAAGTCCACAATTAGAATAAGATAAAATTGTTCCCTGGTTCGAACCAGTTTCATAGTTGCCAGATGGTTATGTTTATCATTCGTGACCAATGGTAGCCATGTTTCAATATCATAAGAACGCGGTTTGTGTAACGCCAGATCGAGCACCGAGGGCAACGAGAATTCCACATTCCATTTTTGATTAGTATGTAGTATGATACTTCCTTTATACCTAGGTACAATTATAATACATATATTCCCTTGTACCTAGGTACATACAATATAATATAGCCGCTTTGAAGTCCATGAACCACAGATTAAGAACCACTTCTATAACATATTTCTAATTGAATATTAAAATCAATTATTTCACTGATCTGTTAAAAAATGTCATGTTTCCTGATCGACAAAAATAAAATAAAATAATATAGGGTTCCGAAGTTTGTGCAAATGTCTCTTTCTTTGTCTCATAATTTACGATCATAACAAAAGGAAGGAAAGAAGTTTATATTAGTAACAATCAATTTATTTAAATATATCACACCTACATAGATATTCGTAAATTTTATTGCCATATTAAAAGTATAATATATTCATCTTACCACAGGAAAGTTGTAGCAAGCAGAGACCTAAAGAAAAACAGATAAAATCAAAGTTGTATCCACCTCCTATGTTCTTTTAATAAAGACGGTTGCAGAAATGTTCCGGGGAAGTTACCACAGACCTATTCTGAACACAAATATAAAATTGCACAAATTAACGTCATAAAGTTAATAAACTATTGCTTTAAAAATAGTTCATACATGTATATGTATACAGAATGTTCGGCCACCCCTGGGAAAAATTTTAATGGGAGATTTTAGAGAGCAAAATACGACGGAAATCAAGAATACCAATTTGTTGATTGAGGCTTCGTTAAAAAGTTATTAACAATTAAATTCAAAAATTTCAAATCGTTCTGGAAAAATTATTTTCGGTTGCGGGGGTCAATTACAATCATTTTTGGTGAATATACATACCCCCGAAATCCTACGCATTTTCGTGAAAAAAATTCAGTACGGGCGTACGCCTGATAGTGGTTCTCATTCACAAAACTGTAAGACTGTTGATACGTCAGTAAGTAGAGTTTCTCATGTTGAATGAGAACCATTATCGCGCGCGCGCAGCTGTTTGCAGATTGCCGTTCTACAGACGGAATTATAAACGTTAATAACTTTTTAACACAGCCTCGATCAACAAATTGGTATTCTGGATTTTCGTCTTATTTTCGCCTCTAGAATCGCTCATGTAAATTTTTCCCACGGATAGCCGAACACTCTGTATAGAATAATGTTGTTCAAAACAATCTCACTCGCAAAAAGTTAATTGAGAAATATAAATATTTAGAAAATGAAAACAAGTAAAATTTATTAAAATGAAAAACCACTCTTAGCCAGTACCGTGCACGCTGTTCAACCTTGTATAGCAAATATTTTTTAAAGATACTATCTAAATAGAAATAATAATTACTACAGAAATAGATTAATACTGACTTTTCTTGCTGTTTTCCAATAACCGTATCAATTTGTTACACAGAATCAAACATTATGTATTTGATATAACTTTACATAAAAAAATAATTGTAATGATATGTAAAACAATAACGTGCACGCTACCGCTCAATGGAAACCACGGGAAGGTGGTGGTGTCTTCCATCAGAAGGGAAATGTAAAAAATTGTTATTACTTGTAACATTGTAACACGCTGTATATTAAAATGTTTAAACTAATATAATGAAATCATGATATGATGAAAAACAAATTCATAAATACATTAATATTTATATTAATATACGCACGAGCCATAGAAATGAAAGAATAATACAATTGCTTACATTTCCAAAGGATGGGATGTTAGGATAGGATCGTCGTACTTTATTAACACACTATACTTTTCTTTTAGTTCAGATAAAACTTATTCACGGAAATAATCGTAATCATCGTTAGAAAATTTATCTACTATTTTTCGTTTTACAGCTAATTGTACACGATTTAATTATTATCTGAATCCTTAAATGACACAAAGGCACGGTAATCAGTCTTAATACAATATTAATTAATAATTAAAACAATATTTCTACATTTAATTGATCAATTTGTTACTATACATAATTTATGCTGATTCTGTGTTTGAACTGTCAGATTTTAAATTAAGAAAAAGGAAGAGAACACACATGACATATGGTAATAGAGAAAATTGAAGAACAAATGAAAACCAAAGAAAGCCAAGGAAGAAAGTAGATTGTAGAAATAAAATTAGTCATGGTGAAACCTATCGGTAAAAAGCCTCCTGTAAGAAGCAGTACAATGATATAGTACACTCATCCTTCATGTTTAACATTTGAGTCTAAGTTTAAGACTTTGAGTTTAGTATTAAGTTTGTGATGCACTGATTCCAAGTTTAAGTTAAATTTATGATTCTGGATTAAATGTTAAGTTAATAATTTTAAGTTTTGAATATAAAGTTGAATTTATTGTTTATAGTTTATTGTATTTGAGTATAAACTGAACTTATTATTATTGTTTAATGTTAGGTTTAAGTTAGTTCAAATATAATTATTATACATTTGTAGGAAAATTGGTAGTCTCACGTATCTTATGGCAGCAAATAGTCTAAATATCGTATTTATTTTAGTCAAGTTAGCGTAAGAATGGAAACCCCCAGAAGAAAAGACTAGAATGATGTCAAACACACCTTAAAATATCTTAAAGAAACATGTAGATATAGTTTTAATTATAAAGGAGACACTGCAACTAGACGTGCAACAACTAGTGTTGTAGCAACGTTTGCAGGTGCCAGTCATAGATAAGCCAGCTTAAAAAATCTGTAGCATTATGTATTGACTGCTGAATCTGAAATCGTTGTAGCAAGTGAAGGGGCCAAAGTATTAGTCTGGCTGAAAAAAATATTGTCAATACCCTTCCAATGTTCTATGTGGATAATGCAAGTGCTGTTAAGCTTGTAAAAAATTCAAAATTTCCTAAGATATAAAAATCACGACTTGCTTACTCATCTATATTTATCCTATTTCATCAGTTCTTTAAATAATGCTAAGTAAGTGACAAATAGTACAAACTTTTATATTTTACTTTAAAATATGTCTTAAGAAATAAATATTTCTTCAAAACTTTTATTAATCAACTGTAAAATAACTATTAACACTTACCAACCGAATGAGATCTCCCCGCTTTGAAGTAAGTCGCTACATGACCGAGTAGGGAGATCTCCCATATTTTCCTTAACAACACTATATTAATTATTTTTTATTTTATACTTTATATAAACTACGTAAGACAGGATTATTAAAACGAGGAGAAGTTATTAAAACATAAACTTCCTTTTGGATTTATTTCTTACATTTGTTATGCGATAAACTGAAAAAATATCGAGAATATCCCTAGACAGGGAAAACTGTTATAGCAGACAACGTGTTCATAAATAAGAATGGTATCTTTTTTAACTTCAAATTCCTCGTATTTCTCGAAAAAATTAATAAGAATGCGAAAATACAAAATATTAATAGTTTTATGCAATTAAGCATAATAATTCTTACGAATTTTCTTATCAAAAAACCTAGTGTGATTTAATGAAACATTTCATATTTATGAAGGATAAAATGAATTTATAATAGATTATATTGAAAACATTTAAATTATATTCGTAACCTAAAACTTACCGTAAAATAATGTAGTACAATGTTCAGTTAATAGTATTTTGTTGGGGGTTTCCACAAAGAAGAACAAAAACATGTATAGAAGATGTGTAGTAGTTTATTACATTCCTTAAAAAAATTGCATGTTAACATTACACTGCTGAAAATTAATAAGAATTAGTCCTTACAAATTTTTGTTCGTTACACATCTACATCGTAATTATAATTTAAATACTGTAAATAAGAACTTTTAAATTATTTTTTATATAATATTACTAAATTCATCTTGAATAAAAGAACTATAGAATTTTAATTAAAGGCAAAATATAATTACTCATGTTCATAACAATACTTTTTAATGTATTGTGGTTGCTAATGACCCTAATGAGTTGATGCAACAGTAAAAATTAAATAAAAAAAAAAAATACTTTTTAACAATTTTTCATATAATATATGTACATTCTCTTCAGTCATAAATATTATTGAGCGAGTACATAATTCTGTGCATATTTTCAGTATTGAATTGTCATAAATTACACTTATTATTTTTAGCGATTACTTGTTGATTATAATTGCATTTTACTGCAATATTATTTACAATTTCACGGTAAGGGAAATTTATAGGGAGACGAAGAGCAGGGTGAAGGTGGGGGGGGAGGTAGGGGAGGGTTTTTGGACGGCGAAGGGGTTGAGGCAAGGGTGCCCCCTGAGTCCGACGCTCTTCAATTTGTTAATAGCGGATGTGGAAGAGGAGATGAGGAAAGGAAGATGGGGAGGGGTGGAGGTAGGGGGGAGGAGAGTGTGTGCGCTGGCGTATGCGGATGACCTGGTGATGGTGGCGAAGGACGAGGAAGAGATGGGGAGTATGATTAGGCGGCTCGAAGGGTACCTGGATAGAAAGAGGTTGGAGGTTAATGTGGAGAAAACGAAGGTGGTAAGGTTTAGGAAGGGGGGAGGAAGGGAGAGGAAGGTGGAGTGGAGGTGGAAGGGGAAAAGGATAGAGGAGGTGAAGGAGTTTAAGTACCTGGGGTACGTGTTCAGGAGGAACGGGGGTCAGGAGGCGCAGGTTAGGGATAGGGTGAGAAAGGCGGGGGTGGTAATGAGGCAGGCATGGGGAATCGGGAAAAGGAAGTTTGAGAGGGACTGGGGAAGGAGGATGTGGCTGTTCGACACGTTGGTCTGGACGGTGGCGGGATATGGGGCAGAGATTTGGGGGTGGAGGGAGAGGGAGGAGATGGAGAGGATGCAGGAGAGGTATATAAGGTGGTCATTGGGGGTGGACTGGAGGACGCCAGGATATATGGTAAGGGAGGAGACGAAGAGGAAAAAGTTGAGGACGTGGGCGGGGGGAAGGGCAGGGAGATATGAGGAGAAACTGAGTAGGGGAGAGGGAGGGGAGTTGGCTAGGTGGTGCCTGGAAGAGATAAGGGAAAGGGGAAGGGAAGGGGGAGAGGAATTGTCGGCGTGGGAGAGAGACAGGTTGGGGTGTAGAGGGTTGGGAGGATTGAGGGGAGGAGAGGGAGGGGCAAGTGGGCGAGCGGGCTGGGAGGGATGGGAGGAGGAAGATGGGAGGAGGCAGGAAGAGGAGAGATGGGGAAAAGTGGTGCAGTCGAGGTATAATAGGTGGTACAGGGAGTTGGTGGGACGGGAGTTACCGGGGTACCTGAAGGCAGGGTGGGGAGAAGTGAGGTATGGAAGGCTAGCTAGGTATAGGATGGGGAACGAGATGAGGGGGGGGGAGGTACTGGGGGGATGAGGAAGAGAGGAGATGTAGGGTATGTGGTTGGGAGGAGGAGACATGGGAGCACGTTTTGGAGAGATGTACGGGGGATGAGGCAGAGGGGAAGGGGATCGGGGAAAGGATAAGGGAGATTTTGGACGAGGGAGGGGGAGGGGAGGGGTGGATAAAGAGGCTGGAGGTCAGGAGGAAAGAGAAAGAGGTGGAGAGGGGGGAAGGGGGGGATGAGGGGAGGAGTGAATGAAGGAATGGAATGCAAGGGCGGAAATGGAAGTCGACGGCGGGGAGGGCGAGCGGGGGTGGAGGAGTGGGAGAGAAGGGAGGAGGGAGAGAGCGAGTAGCGTAAGGTTAGGCTAAGAGCGTGCGGCGAAGGGAGATGAGAGAGAGAGAGAGAGAGAGCGAGTAGCGTAGGATTAGGATAAGAGCGTGCGGCGAAAGGAAATGAGAGAGAGGGGAAAAGCGGCGGGGGGAGGATGTAAGGGCAGTGAGGAGTAGAGTAAGAGTAGAATAAGTAGGATAAGTAGGATAAGTTAGATTAAGGGAGAGATGGAAATGTAAGGTGGGGAGGAAGTGTAACCCTAAGGGGAAGCAGGAAATAAATCTATCTATTTACAATTTCACACCATCCTTTGATAATTTGTTAATATACTTTTTATCAAATAAATATTCTTTTGATAATAAATATCGATGATGTGCATTTTATGCACTTTTTATTTAATTATTATTTCTCATTTATTTTGCAGACTTTGAAAAAGATAGTTACCTCTTCGAGCAATAAATCTAAATAGATAGAAATCTAGATTAGTCAAACTTCTTATTTAATTTGTTGATTTTCATTAGTGCTGTTTTAGCAACTTGTAATATAAAATTATATTTATATCATTACTTACGTATTTTTAAAAATATTCTATAAATGTAATAGACGTTTATATTTATATTAATTTATAAATTAGTACATTTCATATATTTTCGTGTAAAAAATAACAAAGAACAAAAAGCTATAAAGTAAAAATCGTGTACATTTTTGAATTTGATGCTGTTCTAATATAAGGGCAAGCAATAGATTAATTTAAGTAAATTTATTGGCTAATCAAACAATAAATAATTGGGTGTGACCTAACATTAACCAAAAAGAGATTTACGACCAGCTAACTACACTTTCCTGGAAACAGTAAGACTAGAAAGGGTTAACATAACGCCATAAAAATTCTATTCTACACTTACGGTTAAATATTTTAAAACAATCTTAAAGAATTTTGAATATCAATAACATCCATTCTATGTACCATTTTTTATCACCGATTACGTATATTATTACCTCGAATAATTTTGATAATATTTGTAACTTATGACAAAGAAATACGCACAGGGATTTATGAACTAGTTGTTCGATAATACATTATACAGCAATGTTATGAAGTTCTAAAGGACCCCGCATAGATCTTATGAAAAATGACCCCCGGTTAAATTGGCTGAACTTTTGATATGATGTAGTTCATTATGTCTTGATGAAAAGTTCCAATGGGCCCAAGCTTGTAAATTGAACAGTTTCCCGAGATATAGGGGATACAAAGTCAATAATAGTGCGTCTTATTCTAGACTACCACGTTTAAGCATATTTGAGTGTAAGAAGCACTGTTCTGCTGTACACTGTCCATTTATTTGACCCCTTAAAACTCAATAGTAGTACCCTTTACCTTCCGTAGTAGGTAAACCCTACTACGGAACCCTAAATTTTTATTTAAGTACAAACAAAAATAGTGTAACATAACCAGAAACGAAACCAAGACGCAGAATGGCGAAGTTTTTTTTATTGATAAATACCTTGTAAATTATTAATCATTTTCGCACACAGCCAAAAATGAATCAACTATTTATCAATTTATCATTCTACATACTTCCATTTAAATCTCACACAGACTGGTGGTTTCAATTACCTTTCAAATATGGTATATTACTTTTGAGGCACTAAAATACTTTTATCAAGTACATTTAGAAGTATAATTAAAAACACATAAAACAAAATATGCATTAAAATTAACTAACATATTTTGTTTAAACATTCTTGTTTCATGTAATGCATACATTTAAAAACTCATTCCATAAAAAGAAAGTTTGTCCGGAAACATTTATCTGGTACTATACTATATTTAAAAATGTATCAAGTTTATTTAACTTCTTGATATCGACCTGAATATAAATATGCCCCATGATATACATCCGAATAAAAATTTCTTTGCTATTGTTTCTTGTAAATTTGATCAACTTTGAATAAAGCTTAATAAAAATAACTTTATTTTCTTGCAATACCAATCGCTTCATGAAATACAACAAAACTGTAGTTGTACGAGTTTATTTTGAGTCACTATACTTTTGTCCAGCAATGTATGTATACAGGGTGTTCGGCCACCTCTAGCAAAAATTTTAATGAGCGATAGTAGAGGCCAAAATAAGACGAAAATCAAGAATACCAATTTGTTGATGGAAGCTTCGTTAAAAAGTTATTAACGTTTAAAGTGCCGCCCTTACTGAATTTTTTTCTCGAAAATGCGCAAGATTTCGGGGGTATGTCTATTCACCAAAAATGACTGTAATTGAACCCTACAACCGAAAATAATTTTTCCACAACGATTTGCAATTTTTTAATTTTCTCGATTAATTTCACACCTTCTCTATTTTTTTTCTCGAAAGTGGGCAGGATTTCGTGGGTACGTCTAATGACAAAAACTGATTGTAATTGACCCCCGCAACCGAAAATAATTTTTCCACAACGATTTGCAATTTTTTTTCTCCGTTGAAAAATTTAGGCACCTAATTGGATTTTCAGTAAGGAATTTTTTTCTCGAAAGTGCGTACGATTTCGGAGGTATGTGTAATGATAAAAAATGATTGTAATTGATCCCCGCGACCGAAAATAATTTTTTTAGAACGATATGAAAAATTTTTTTTCGCCGAAAAATTTCACCACCTACTCGATTTTTTTTCTCGAAAGTAGATAGGATTTCGAAGGTATGTGTACTCACCAAAAATGATTGTAGTTGACCCCCGCAACCGAAAATAATTTTTCCAGAACGATTTGAAATTTTTGAATTTAATTGTTAATAACTTTTTAACGAAGCTTCCATCAACAAATTGGTATTCTTGATTTTCGTCTTATTTTGGCCTCTACTATCGCTCATTAAAATTTTTGCTAGAGGTGGCCGAACACCCTGTATAACCAATAAAATTAATTTACTGCAATATATTTGTTATTTTACTAAACTGGTATAGCAAGAGACCTCTTGTTACATGACGCGTAGCCACTGTATCCGACTGAACATCAACAACAACTTCGATGTTGTTACGTGCTTACTATTCATTTTTCAACTTATTATCTTGCTGGGTACATAAGTATTTACTTACTTTAATGATTAAAAAAAATTAAATTAAGAATTAAATAAAGAAATAAGTTTTTTGATTTTAATCATTCATTATTTATCTAAATAATATAGGTTACACTGAAAATAGTTTGCTAAACGATGATAGAAACGAGTTTTTAAGATATGTAATAATAAAGACTAGAAAGAGAATTTTTCGAACAATAAAGTATTATGAAAGGTACAGTGAAATATACAAGGTGTTCGGCCACCCCTGGAAAAAATTTTAATGTGAGATTCTAAAATAACACGCAAATCAAGAATATCAATTTCTTGATTGAGGTTTCATTCAAAAGTTATTAAAAAATTTCAAACCACTCTGGAAAAATTATTTTCGGTTGCAGAAGTCAATTACAATAATTTTTGGTGAAAAGACATGCATCCGAAATCCTAGGCACTTTCGAGGAAAAAATTCGAATAGATGCAGAAATCTTTCGGTGAAAAAAAAACTTTGAAATCATTCTAAAAAAATTATTTTTAGCTTGAGGGATTAATTACAATAATTTTTTATGAATACATACCCCCGAAATACTATCCACTTTCGAGAAAAAAATTCATAACTGAAAATATAACGTCAAGCCAGAAAATGCGTATCTTTAAAACATCATAACTTTTGAACGAATTGGACAATTTTAAAGTTTCAAAAGGCAAATAACGCATATTTTAGTGAAGAAGGTGTCGGAATTCCAAAAATATTCGAAAAGTTGCTTCTTAACCCCGTAACGTAAGGAAAACCCCATAAAAATGGTCCAATTTTCAAACAGCCATAACTCCAACAATAGTGAGTGTATCTCATTGAAATTTTTTTCTGAAGTAGAGTTCGTGAGTACCTACAAAAATGTTTTTGTAGGTACTCATGAGGGTACCCTCCGAGTCCCCTTCAGGAGTCAAAATAAACAAACGCCAAAACGGTAAAAAATGGTTCTCTTTTTCAATGTACAAACATGAAGCACCGTTGACATTAGCATTACCCAGTATGCAGCACCACGAAGAGGTTGCTCGATCGGATTTTGCACACCATGTGGCCCTGAAAAGGGTCGTTTTTATAGTTCTCTCTATTCGGCCATAAAAAAATTTCAACATCCATATTGTCTTGATGCTCTCTATTAGGAGCATCTCTGGTCGTATTTAGAACATTGCTATCCGAATATTTGGCATGCCTTTCATGACGAGCAAATCCTAAAAACCTTAAAACACTTGCAATATGTGCGCATGTACCCAATGTTTTGGCACCAAATTGACAGGTGCAGTAGTAACCATTTATTACTTCTTCTTCTTCTAGTTCCAGTTCATTATTGGAAATGTGAGAAATAAGAACTTGATGTTTGGTACAATTCCGAAATTGTGAATAAACTTTTAGTCTTCTAAGGCTGATATCTACCAACGAAGTGTCAATCTGCAATTCATCGTATGCAGCATCATTTGTTGCAGCAGAGAGTCAGGGGATCAAAGGGTAATATTTAAGCGCCCATAGTACTAGTATTGAGTTTTAAGAGGTCAAATAAATGGACAGTGTACAACAGTGCTTTTTACACTCAAACATGCTCAAGCGTGGTAGTCTAAAATAAGGCACTCTATTATTGACTTTTGATCCCCCGTATCTCTGAAACTGTTCAATTTACGAGCTTAGGCCCATTGGAACTTTTCATCAAGACATAATGAACTACATCATATCAAAAGTTCAGCTAATTTAACCAGGGGCCATTTTCCATAAGGTCTGTACAGGGTCCTTTATATTTTTTATATTATTTTATCAAATAATCACTGAAATGCAATTTGATTTATTAAAGAATCTTTTTAAAATCTTAGTTCAAATCACATATTAAACGTTATCAATTATTTCATAAATAATCGTGATAGTAAAATTGATCAAATTTGAAAAAGGATTGAAAAAATTAATTGACTTAGTTTAACTTACCTCCCGTGATGACTGATTGATTATGGCAGTTGTGACACAGATCGCTCTGGGAGTACCAGCCCAAGTGGTAAACCAGAAATTAATGAAAACGAAAGATAGCAATTAATACACAGGAAGTAAAATAAAAATAATTACTATCTCTTTCTTATATACTTTGTATGTAAGCCAAAATAGATCTTTATAATTATTATTGTATTATTATCAAATATATTGCACATTTTCAAAATTTTCTTATAAGCTGTAGAAATGATTAATAATGAAAGCATTGAATGATATACTATGCGTTCCTGTCCTTCTAGTATTTCATGAATTATAATCCAGAATACGTGATTTCATCAGAAAAAAATAAGTGTTGAATGTGACACAAAAAACTATTTTGAAAATAAAAAGTTGCTTACGAATTTGAATGTAATAAATAAATAAAATTACACGTGATAATGCAAGCTACATCTAATTCAACACGTAGCTGTATAAATGATCCAAAATCAAATTCCTTAATTATTTTAATTAA